CAAAAGTCAAATGCAAATCATCACCATACTGGTTTGGTATCACCATTTTGTGTTTTATCTATAGATATGGCTGAGGATTTTCCAATTGACTATATGCATCAGTCTTGTCTTGGTGTAATGCAAAAGTTGTTGGTGACCTTGATTAGAGATATGACAAAAAAGGAGTAAAAATGTCTGCTGCTCATAAGAATGATATAAGTGCTAAACTTCTTGAGTTAAAATAATGTGTTCCTAAAGATTGTGTAAGAAAACCACGTTCTCTTGATGAAATTGATTTTTGAAAAGCAACCGAGTATAGGCAATTTTTATTTTATACTTTATTTTATAAGTTGTGCTAAAAAGCATCTTGTAAAAAGACCTATTTTAACACTTTTTATTTTTAAGGGTAGCTTTCCCGAGAAAAAAAAACCCGCTAATCCTGTTAAGTTCCTAATAAGTTTCCTTCTAAAACTTAGTAAGTTCCCGCCGGGTACTTACTAGGAACTTAGTAGGATTAGCAGGTTTTAGTAGGAAACTTAGTAGAATTAGCAGGTTTTAGTAGGAAACTTAGTAGGATTAGCAAGATTTTAGAAGGAAACTTAGTAGTGTTACTAGGGTTTTTACTCGGAACTTAGTAGGTACTTAACAGGATTAGTAGGTTTTCTTTTCTCGGTTAAGTATTACTTTCTAGTTTTAGTTAATAGTTTTTTTAGTTAAATTCATATGTTTATTAGGGTTTTATTTAATTATTTGAGTTTTAAAGATTTCATAGATATATTAGTAGGCTTATTTTTCAAGAAATATACGAGTTTAAGTAAAAATAATAATTTTTACTTAAACACAGAATCTTCTTGAAAATATAATCCTTATAATATAACTTAAATAGTCGCTAAGCAATAAGGACGCTTATTTATAAAACAATAATAAAAATAACAAATAATTAAGTGTTAGATTTTTTAACTAGAACATTTAAAAAAATACAATAAACAGCAATGGTCAGTTCATTTGGTAATTTTGCAGGTGTCAGTGGAATAATTGCACCCATAAGATTTTTCTTAATCTTTTACGACCATAACTGTAGCTATAACGTAATTTATAAAAATATTAATGTAATTCAACAACATAATAACATATATTTTATAACAAAAAAGCATATTTATCTTACCATAAATTTAGAACGATGAAAAAACTTTCATTATCATTGTTTCAAAGCTATTATAATCTAAAATTTCAAAATAAAAATATATATATATATATATATATATATATATATATATATATATATATATATATATATATATATATATATATATATATATATATATATATATACACAAATATATACACATATATATATACACATATATATACACATATATATACACATATTATTTTTATATACATATAAAAAAAGGAAAATTTACAGTTGACGAAAAACAATTAATAATTGTGTCTAAAATAAATATTTAATTAACTAATAGATATTAATCGTATCCACCTGTTATCCGCGATAACAGGTGGATACTATTTCTTTTCTCTTAACAAATTTATTTAATTCTTAAAAGAAACACTACACAAAGTCAAAATGGTACAAAAAGAAATCTGATTTAGATCATTGTAAACAACAAACTCTTGTCGCCATTATAAATTAAGTTTGATGTTTCATTAATTAATTGATTGCAAACAGAATCCTAAATAACAACTTCTAATAAAAAGAATATTGTGAAGTAAATATATAATAATACAAAAAAGCATAATACAATATCAAACTTTAAAAAATAGAAATAAAACCTAATCATGTTCTTAATTGTTTTGAATAACAACACTATAATAAAATTTCTTTGTTTTTTTTACAAGAGCGTAGTGAGTAAATTTGCTTGAATCAAAAACAGCTAATCCACACTTTTTCAACAATAACTAAGGAGATATTTTTGACAAAACATGCTTGATTTTGATAGGAATATTAAAAGAATCCATATGACGACGAAACTTACTTACATTTTTATACAATCGACATATACACAAGATTTGTCTTTGGTTATGTGCAATAAACAAAATTTTCACAATCACATTAAATTCTATTAAATATGCATAATATGAAGCTGATTTTAATTTTTTACCATAATGATAAGCATGAAAAGTTCTATCTGCAACTCTAAAACGGTTATAAAACTGATAAAGATTTAAGTCGACATTTAAATCATTCAAATCCATATTCCGCAACTTATCTGATATATTTTGTGCTGCACCTAACACAAAAGGATTCAAAGAAAAAGTATTTAAGTGGTCTTCCGTCTGAAATTTAATAAATTTTTCAGCTATTTGCCTTCCATGGCCTTTAGTTCCTGTAACAGACCTCTTTAGTTGGCAATTTACATTTTCAAACACCATAGCAGACGTTGCTGTAAGAGGTCCAAAATTTTTTACCTGGTCAGAGAGATGCACTAATGCATGAAAAGTGAATGTGCGAATACTTTCACCGAAATAGGAGCATAATGCCTTTTGAAATAAATAAACTAGTTGCTGACAAGCATCAATATCATTTGATGAAACAATTTCATTTGATAATGTATAAATAGATGTTGATAGCATTAAATAAAGAGAAGAAATTTCAGCATTACCAAGTTTGTAAAACACAAATGGCCCATAATACAATAGAAAATACTTGTGCTCTTGAGCTTTCCACTTAACAAGTTCATTATTCAAATTTTTTGGCTTCCGTCAAAAAAAGTGTGGCAATTTTATGGAGTCTATTAGACTAAAAAGATCTACAAGACTTTGATGAGCATCTTTTTATATAAGAAAAAATCTTCTTAAATTTTTGATAGTTTTTATTTTTTTATTTTGTCTATTTCAAAATTATCATTTTTTTTATTTATCAAAATAATAAATATTTGTCAGGTGGACAAAAAATTTACTTTTTTTTAAAAATACAAAGATTTAGGTCAAAAAATTAAAAAGATTTAGGTCAGCAGTTACATGCCGGCGTGAAGCAAAAATAGGTCCCAGCCAGCAAAAAATAATTGGCCCAATGTTGGCCCAATGCATTGACTTGCATTGGCACAATGTTGGAATAATGCGTTGGACCAATACCGGAGTGATCATTGGCGCAAGGTACGACCAATGCTCATTGGCCAATGCTAAAAACAACGTTTAGCCAATGTTATAATTATACGTTAAGTATGTTTAAAATATGTTAACCCAATATTCAAAAAACGTAATTTTAGCAATGCTAAAATTATGATTTTATTTTACTTGAATTACATTACAGCCAAAACAAAACTTGATTCAATAAAGAGAAACAAGTCAATAAAGTATTCAATGATGTGATGTGATTACCCCGATTTAAATTAAACAAATTGAGAAAATAGTCTGTAGTTAACGTATGCTTAAATATTTCATCAGAATAAACCGTTAAACTATATAATTTTTACTATAAGTTATAACAATTGATTGTCTCGAATTAAATTTTTTTGGAGTGATCGTTTACTCCCTCGTTCTGGATCATTTCTGCCTCCTTCGCGGTCGCAGGACTGCCTAAGCCAAATCTTTACAAGTTGTTCAACACTTGAAGTAGTGACGTCACTCAATAACTTGTTCTTCTTAACAACACCTGAAAAGAAAAGGAAAATTAAATCCTCATTTAACTACTTAGGTAGTAATTACTATTAAGAAAATATTTATCTCTAAATTTATTTTTTTGGTTGGTATCGGGACAGCAAAAAAAATTTATTAGTTATATTTAACAAAAATAATACTTCCACCATAACAACTTAAAAAATTAAGTTTCATTATTTTAGTTTCCACACGTATAGCCGTAGAAACTAAAATTTTAGTTTACATATGTACAGATTTTTTATGACCAAAGTATTTAAAATTCAATTATAAAAGTCAATTATAGACTTACTGACAATAAGAGAAGTTATTTTCATGTTGCCGATTCCAACTTTTCCACTCCTACCGGCAAAGTTTAATTGCAACGATAACCCTTTTGAGAAAAGTGTTCTTAACAATCTACGCGTTGTATCACCAATATTTCTTCCACCAATTTGAGCAAGATGATTAACCTTGATTAACATATTTAATATAATTAACCCTATCTAACCTTATGTCAACTGAATAATAATTAACTAATCATTTAGTAAGTTAATTAGCCTACATTTAAGATAATTGCATGCCGTTGCATGCTACATTTTACTAAATTTGCATGCTATTTCTTTATAACGTTGCATGCTTTTGCATACTCCTATATAACAATTTGCATGTCTTTGTATGCTTTCAATTTAATATATGGCATATGAAGTTATTATTTCATAATAGCTTATTGAATTTTTTTACATCTTATTGAACAATAAGAGAACTGATGCCTATAGAATTTATTTTAACTTGTGTGAAAACGTTCGAAGTATTATTAACAAAACAGTTAATTGTATATATATATATATATATATATATATATATATATATATATATATATATATATATATATATATATATATATATATATATATATATAATATAACTTTTTATTAATCATAGAAACATGATAATGATTTTTGAATTACAAAAAACTAAAAAATACTTCAAAAACTTCAAAAATTAAAAAATACATCAAAACAAATAAAAATGTTTTGCATACCGAGTGGGAACCCTGAAATATGTAAAACCAGCCCTCAGAACAAGGGTCGGCATTCGGCAATGCCGACCTAACTGTGTTTGAGGTCGGTATAACTAAAAGTGTTTGAGGTCGGCATAAAATTCCCGGACCTCCTTTCTATGTTTTATAGTTTGACCTTTGTGTCAAAAATTTTTTGCCGACCTGATGCTGACCTCTAACAGTTTAAGGTCGGCAGTTTATTGGCGAGTTCATTTTTTTTTATTCTAAGGGCTGATAAAATATATAAATATGTATAAAATATAGTAGAACATATATACATTCAAAAAAACCAACATCAAAATTATGGAAATAACATACTAATAACTTGAAAGTGCTATTTTCTTTTAGTTTCTCATCAAAATCTTTTAATTCTTGTATACAATCAAGAGGAAGATTTATGCCTTCAGGCAAAGTATCATAACTTTTATGCTGAGTTACAGCATTAAGGATTGAATTCAAAATTTGTGAATGCATGGCCTGCTTTGTCTCTATTGATGCAAGTCTGCTTAGAATCACATGCAGATCTTTTGGAAGTATTCCTAAAGTTTTGAAAAATATTAAAATTTTAAATATTTAAATCTTATGGTTATTATATAAAGCAATTATATAAAACTACTTTTTTGTATAGTTTTTTGCACAAAAAAAAGGCAAAATTTAAATAAAATTAAAATTTCAGCATTTTCATTCAAAAAAGGGATTAATAATATTTATAACAATTTCAAAGATAAGGTGGAATATAATCGATTAAACAACTCATCAAAATGAAACCTTTTTTCATTTTCTTTGTAAAAAATATAATAAAATTTTTATTTCTTAACATGCATTGAAATTTCTATTATTGTTTAGAATTTTGCAAATTCCATTTCAAATAACAAACTAGTAAAAGTAGTATTAACTACAGAACTTTAGCATATTATATTCTAAAACTTTAGCATATTAGGCAGCAAAAAATAATACCTGAGATTGCATTTGGGGTTGACGGAGATGAATTAGTGATGCTTTTAAATTGGGAATACAAACTAAAATTTGGCTGAGCTTGATCAATCAAATTGTCAGTTTCTGGTGATTTAGCTGTGCAAGAATCGTGAAATCTTCATTTTCTTCATCAGACATATTTAACTCCTGATTTCTTTTTTCTGGGAAAGCGATCTCACAACTTGCTAAAAAAAAGACCAATTAAAAGGTTTATTATGTTAGTTTTAAGGAATGATTATGCAAAACAACTCATTGAAAACTTGTCAAAGATATTGCATAAAAACTTTGTATATTATACTAGTATAAATACAACCAATTATAATAATGTTATAAATTGCTACTTTATTATAAATTTATTCCCCATTAAATATTCATAAACAACCGTTAAAACAAATTCACAGGATGACAATGTCACATGTGATGCCAAAGAAAAGTTGTGCTTTGTACATATATAACATGTTTATAATATGTGTTTTTTACAAATATAACAATTTCGAAACTATAAAAAATAAATATTACAATCTTACAAATCATAAGTATTATATTAAAATCATAAACAACCAATAAGCATTTAAACATTGTAATAATAATAAAATAAACATTACATATTATTCACTGAAAAACAAACCATGCATCTTGAAAGCAAATATGATTCATTGCAAGAAAATTTTATTATAAAATTTAATTACCTGATGAATCCATTATTATATTCTCCCCTAAAGAAAAAATTACTATAAATACATTACTGAACATTTCTTAATACAGCAGATATTAAAATTAATAAAACATCTACAATTTTAAAAATTATAAAAAACTAATAAAAAATTGAAAAATTAATGTTAAAGCAACTTTAACCTTGTTAAAGATAAATTGAAATTATATTTACCTGAAATTGTATTTGATACTACTGCCTGAAATGGTTTAGTTGTATTATTGGTATTTCTTAGCCTAGGATGAAATGTGAGCTTATTAGGCTGAACAAGTGATTTTACTAAAGGGTTTGCCAGTCCTGGTGGAACATTCGGACATTTAAGCTTTGTATGATTGTCCTCAATATGTTCTTCATTAGACAATGAAAAATTTTTTCGCCGCTTTTTTGACATAGAAATTTGTTCATCATGATCTGTGTCAAGAGCTGAGGTATCTAACTCCGCTTGTTTTAAATTTTGATGTGCTTTTTCATGGCTTGCTAAAAAAGTTTAAAAAAATAAATAAAAAAACAAATAATTTACAAAATACTTATTATAAAATAGTTATTTTTTAATAAAATAAAAAAATGTTACTTTTATTATTTTTTTTAGACTTTTATCATTTATTTTAACTTTAATGTAATTTTAAAAGTTTATCAAAGAACTTTATTAACAATTACCATATAAATGTAATGATCTAGCTGGCAGCTGTTCCCAAGATAATTTGGGCTCTTCTTTTTTTTGTATAGAGTTTTCTAATCGACTACCACGATAAGGGGGCCAGTAACAGAAATTCACATTGACAATCCACTTCACTGGTACAATTGCTACAGAGTTATCATTTATAAAATGCATGATAGCAAACTCCATTTTCTAAAATAACTTAAGCAAAATATTTAAAAAATTAAAACATAGAAATCTTTATGACATTTTATTATATAGAATAGAATAAAAATTACAAAATTATTTACAACAATAAATTTAAACAAACCACTCCTGTACTTTGTTTCATCTCAAACAAAAATTTAAAATTACTCTTTTTAAATCAGTCAACATCCATAAGGAAGGTTATTATGATTAACTGCCTTAATAAGGAAGTCAAAAAATTCATTAATTACTAACTGTATTTAAAAAAAGGGCTCAATAAAAATTGATGTTAAAATCTAGGGCTCAATAAAAAATGATGTTTTTCAAATGAAATTTTAAATGATGCCAGAATATTTAACTATATAAATAAATAATCTAATGTTATTCAATCAATTAAAAGATAATTTGAAATAATTGACTTTACAGTTAAAATATATAACTTAACAACTTTATAAGTAAACAAATTTGTAATTGAAAAGTTCTTTATAAATCATAGAACTTTATATATATATATATATATATATATATATATATATATATATATATATATATATATATATATATATATATATATATATATATATATATATATATATATATATATATATATATATATATATATATATATATATATATATATATATATATATATATATATATATATATATATATATATATATATATATATATATATATATATATATATATATATATATATATATATATATTATATATATATATATATATATATATATATATATATATATATATATATATATATATATATATATATATATATATATATATATATATATATATATATATATATACATATATATATATATATACATATATATATATATATATATATATATATATATATATATATATATTATATATATATAAAATATATATATAAATATATATTTAAAAATAAAGTTAACATTTTTATTTTCAGTAATCATTTCACATTTCATTTTATTAAGACATTAATTATAAAACAACTATAATTAAGTATTAAAAATAAAAAGTATAAAATAAAAGTATAAATGCGACTATAACATTTTTTAAAAATCTAATTAAAAAAAAAATCTAAAAAATATTTTTTTGTATTATATTATCAATTAGCAACAAATATTTTTTTGTATTATATTATCAATTAGCAAATAAAAGTTTAATGCAACAGGGGTACAATAAAATAATCTGATGACTCAACTTTAGTAGGGAGACAAAGACATTTTTTGAAAACCATTGAAACAGGTAAAAGTTGCAATTTAGATAAACTGTTTCTAGACACTTTACAGATTCCTAATTTTGTTGATGAAATTGGAAACATAAAACTTTCATAAACAGTTAGGAATTTTTCACAAACAAATGTAATATCATTATTTATAAGTAGTATATTACGAATGATACACGGTACACCATCATTTGTAATAAAACAGTTATCTTTATCTGATGTTGAAAAAAACCATTTCTCTAACTGAACTTTTTTAAATTGTTTTGCATGTTCAAACCCATTAGGTAAAGGGCCATTAAAATGTTCACCTTTGAGTAAATTAAGCTCATCCAAGTTATTATCATTTTTTAAATTACTGCTTAGTTTCCTCTCTCCTAATCTTCGAACTAATTGCTGAATTGGAAATTGTGGTTTCCTAATCATTTTTTTTAACTGTCCTAACAGATTCTCAAAATGAAAACTGCTAAAATTATCTAATGGACCAAGTGTCTGCACATCTTTTGATAAATGAATAAGGCAGTGAACATTGTAAACAAGAAATCCTTTACCATAGAGACTTTTACCTTCATTTACAAATAAAACAAGTAATTCGTGAGCATATTCAGAGTAATCCTTAGAAAACACTGGATCTACCAATATTGTTATAGCTACATTTAGTAACACAAAATGATTGTATAAAGGCAATGATAAAACATTTGAGAGCACTAATGGGCCCAGATACAGTAAAAAAAGACGAAATTCAGTAGCTTTCCAGCGTAAAACTTCATGAGCAGAACGACACTTTCTTGAAAATTCAGAAGGAATATTTTGTGATAAGGAATTTAGACTATTAGACAACTGATCCATTGCACGTGTACCAATTCGAACG